TTTTATTAATTATTACTTATAATTATTACTTATAATTATAATCATATATATATTCCAGTTATCACATATATGTGCAAAAATATATTTCGGTTAAAATGATCAGGATGCGCCTATTAACGTTAGTTTCGAGACGCATCTAATCCCAGATTAAGCGAGCAATAAATGTTTTATTCTTATTCTGTGTGTTGAGATTTATCGTTGTTATTTACCATACACTTATTTTGTAAGTAATATATCCAAAACTAGGATATTTCAAATAAATTAGCAACAAATTCCTACGTTATTTTTACGTAAATCAGCTTTATTTATATAGAATCACACACACACACACACACACATACACACACACGCGCGCGCGCGCGCGCACGCACACGCACACGCACACGCACACGCACACAGTTCTGCTATATAAAACAAAGCCGATCTACGTAAAAATAACGTAGAAATTTGTTGCTAATTTGTTGTCAAAATATCTACTAACTTAATCTTCCTTTAGCGGAACATCATTTTAAAAAAAACCGGAAGAGCAACAAAGTTTTTTTTGACAACTTTCTAGCAACAAATAAAAATAATTAATTGATTCTAGTTACTTTGTTCCGTTAACTTATAAGACATTTTAATATTGGCGAACAAGAGTAAAATGATGCACTATGTCACACCATGTCATATGTGTCTCTTGTTGAAAGGCACCTATACCTGTCACATTTTTGTAATTACGTTGTAACAGAAAGGCTATGCTCGATTTTTATTGTGTTTTTTGCTGTTACTATTTGATATGATAAGTTGAGCTGTAGCCTTGCCGCGTTTTCACTATCATAATGTGATCAGATCATGCCTTCTACTATCTTTCTGTTGTCAGTATTTGATACTGACAGCAGAATATAGCAAATTTTGTCCAATATTTGCTACATATTTGCTGCCATGATGTGATACAATGCTCTTTGTTGCATCGCTATTAGTTTTATATTGATAAATCATGCTGCTAGAAACTAAGCTTAATGACGAAACAGCAGATTAAAATCTACTGCATCATCATGATCAAGTTTGCTGATATATTGCCAGTGTACTACTAGCATTTTGCTATTTGGGATATTTTTTGCATCCAACACGATTTATAGCCCTACATTATATTATTTTAAATAATGTATATTTAAAAAATTTATTAATAAAATAATGCAGTAGCATTATACATTTCCCTTTCTCATATATTTTTATTAATAAATTTTCTTTATATAGATATGCATTAGGATTTAACTCACAAAGCCAGTAGGCTTGTCCCTTCTGTTTGCCATGATCCTGTCTTCTAGATTTATGTTATCTTCTTTGATACATCTCTCTAGTCTAAAACACAGAATTGTAAAATGATTATTGACAAAAAAGTGTTCTCTGAATAAACCAAACTGTATAAATTCATATATAAGAGTATATGTAATAAGGTTAAACTTATACTCTATTCTAAATTAAGATTTCATGTAACAAGTAAGTTACAGAATAATGCTTTTTTTATCAAAGATGTAAAGATATATTGTTCTCAAAAATTATCATTGTACAAACATACTATTAGTCATCAAAGATAATATAATAACATTTTAATTACAGAATATAAAAACAATAAACGTATTGCAAGTAAATGTTAACTTAATCTGGTTATATATGTTATATTATTTTAATAATTATACATAAATGTCTATTATGTATTTTGCTTACTCGATATTTTAGTATTATTTTTATATCTATATTCAAAGAAAGAAATGACTTTCTTTTCTTTCAGAATGATTCTTCCAGATTAGATGCACATAAGTGCTTTAAATCTATAGATATTAATTAGTTATGTTACACAAGGTTTCTTAAATTTATACAACTTTTTCTCCTTTTAATTAAACTTTCTCTGATCAAATACAGTCGAGAAAGGAACAGTTGCCTGGTTAATTCTTATACCGAGTCTACAATGAAGGTACGATTAACACAAAGCTGCAAACGTTTTTTAATTGGTCAGTTTGTAAAATTCTTTCTTCTAATTGGTCCCTCAAATGCTTCAAAGCATTTGTAGCGAAACTTTGATCACAGCCTGAATCTTTAGTCAGAAGTCAGACTTAATCAGTGAAGTTGGTCAATCAGCGTTAATTATATACAAGTTGGCTATTGGCTAACTTCATCAATAAGACTTAGAACTTCTGACTCATTGTAGACTCGGCATTACAGATTATGACCAGTAAGAAATATAAAAGATCTTTTACTTAAAAGCATAACCAAGTCGTGTACGAAAAATAAAGTTTTGAAACACAATGGAATAATATCATAAACAATGTCAATATTGTTGACAAGTGTATTCAGACAAACCAAAAAAATTGACCTTGATATAGGAACGTAATTGAATCTTTTCGTTACGTGATGATTTGGATTGTTAAAACAACGTTCTCATTAAGGTTATTTCTCGACATGGTGCACGTTGATAATCGTGTACGTCGATAATCATTCCTGATCGAAGCAGAGATTTCTATTCCGTCCAAAATCATTTGCCCATGACATTTCGTATTACCTAAATTTATCGACGGCCTCTCACTCGGATTTGCGCGCTTTTACGGTGAGTCAGGCAAATCAATGCAATGTGCCCGCGTCGTCGGTTTCTCTCAGTTTCTCTTTCCAGTGAAAAGGCCAGCGAATCGATTGGATTGATGTACAGCCACGAATTAACGCGCATCGGATAATTTACGTGCGCGCAAGATACTCTTAATGAATTTCCAAGCAATCCTTTCTAAATGAAGCCCCGTGAAAAACATCCGAACACCATACTTCACTGTACTTGTTGTGTTGCGACTGATCGCGACAACTCCGAAATTCCAAACTAGAGCCATGTTCGTATATTACTGCCAATTAACTGCCAGTATTGAAAATCTATAGTTCCCGTTACGTAGACTATGGTTGTGTTCCAAAATTCATTGCAGCACTGACAATCTACAGTTTATGTCACGTACTATACATCATTTTCAGCACTGAATTATATTCATAGGCTGTTCGCTTTGATGTTCACAACGCTTGAAGTACTGTATGAGCCTTGTTATTTGATATAAATAAACAAGGACAGTTGATATTCACAAGTGCTATGAACAGCAAAGTGACTGCAGCCATAATCTGTACTGTAGCCATGTTCCAAAATTCTGCCAGTGCTGAAAATGTATAGGCTGCGATCGATTTAAACGCTTTCAGTACTTTTTAGTACTTTTATTCTTATTTTATGTCTAAAACCGGTTCTACATTAGTTGCAAGCTGGGTATCAATCATGAAACTTTATCTAGGATAGAAAGTGGAAAATGAAATTTCTCCATTAATTTCAAAAATTAATTAATTAATTTTAAAAATTATTTAAATAATTTTAAAAATTGTCACTTTTTATTTCCATCCTAGGAATTCCATGATTGATATCAGATCGCAAGTTTGTTGCGACAGCCAATATGAAGCGTTGATTTCAAAATGCAAGCTTCAGATTGGCTATCGCAACAAACTTGCGATCATCTTGCAACTAATGTAGAACCGACTTAATGAATGATAAAGAATGATGATTACAAGCGCTTAAAGTGCGTGAGCGTCCAAATCAGCCGCAGTCATAGTATATGTGATGTAAATATTCAGCGCTGACAGTGAACTTTAGAATACAACCTGTATTGACAATTAGCAGTAAAATCCCAGACAATGCGAATAACACGATTTTGATCTATCAAAAATTAGATACACTGGAATATACAGTTTTTGAGGTTAAAATCATGTTATTTCTATCGCTATCGTTATTCCTTCACTAGAGGTTTGTTCACACCACATATTCTAAATTAACTCAGATGCTGGATTCACATTGGATCCGACGTGCATGCAATGACGTTCTGCAACCAATCAGAAAGCAGAATTTTATTTTGATGATACGAAGCAAAATCCTGTTTTCTGATTGGTTGCAAAGCGTCATTCAATGCACGTCGGATCCAACAAGAGAGCACTTAGATCATAGGTAAAATGATGATTGGAGCAGTTGGAACATGTGCCCCAACGTGACACGAACGGATTTAGGTAGATAAATAATTTGATAACTTATTGATCATTTAACCTAATCCGTAAAACCAGCGGGTCGGACTTGTGCCTTATTTCATTTCGGATATTTTTTTATTACTTTGATTATTTGAAAAATATTTTTATACGAAATAAATACGTTTTTAATGAATAAATATAAAAGTTATATTATATTTTTATATTATATT